TGTGGTTTGGGGGGCACCATCTGTCATCCTTCCAGATAACCGGGAGTGGCTGGGGGTACCCCTTTGTTTGCCTCTGCCATGAGGCCCTAGCTGGGCTCTTTTGGAGGAGTGTTTGCCTGGGCTGTTTCCCTGAGATCCTCCACGCTGAGTAGGGGATGGAAACCTGGCCTGGGCACACCTCCATTCCTGCTCAGTGGGTGGGAAGACTTCCGGGTGGGGCAGGCTGGATTAATTGATAGCCCACACCATAGATTGAGGCCCAAGCATACCTAGTGGCTCCTGTGACCGAAGTAGGCTGATTATGGTGTCCTTAGATGACTTTGTTCCATGGCATGTTTGTGCTGACTCAGATTTCAGCTCCACACTGTAAGACCACTTTCCCGAGTTGCTGCACACACTTGGTTGGAATCTGCTTTATGCTGACACCCAAGGAAACGTCGTCTAATTTGGGGCATTGGCTGGAGCAGAGCAACGCTTTGGGCAGACTTTCCAGATTTCCCTGTGGCTGCAAACTCTGAAGCCTGCATTGTATCTGAAGGCCCTGCTTGGTGCCAGACCTTCCGCAGGAGTTACTGTTGTCAGCTGTGTGTTAATGATGGTCCAGTTTAGAATACATAGTGTGTGAATTCTTGCTTTACCTGGTTCTTGAGTCTAGAGCTGTGTTAATTCAGTGCCCACTAGTCACTTGCAGCAATTAAATTTAAATTAATTAAAATTAAATAAAGTGAAAAATTCAGCTCCTCAGTCACACTATTTACATTTCAAGTGCTTGGTAGCAGCACATGGCTCGTGGCTAATACATTGCACAGCGCAGATAGAGAACAGAAAGGTCAGCGCTGGTCTAGACCAAAATAGGAGAGGGGTGGAAATAGCAAAATGAGAGCTGCTTGCACGTTGAGTTTTCTCTTCAGTCCATTAGATCTAGGGAACCCACAGTGTTTGTAATGAAGAACATCAGACCCTGAGCTGTAACCTGAATTCTTGTCCAAAACTCCGCACACTGGCAGCAAGCACAGCAAACAGATTGCCACTTGTCCTGTCGGCCTCTTTGAGACAAACTTGCCCGTCTGGGAAGGCGCGGTGCAGGTATCTGTGTGTTCTGCCGCTTGGTGCCAACCTGGGCCGGCTCACAGAGTCGCCCCTCTGTCCCATGTGGGCTGCCTGTCCTCCTCCTGAAGGGCCCCCGAGTGTCCCTAGTTCTCTGTGACTGTTGAATGTGAGCGCAGCCCGTGAGGGTGCATGGGATCTGATTCTGATCATGATGCGAGGCCGCAGCACTGTTTAAAGGCCTGGAGTGTTCAGAGGGCCGGGCGTGCTGCACTGAATGCTCAGGCTTTAGGGTGAAACCACTTTTTGTGGCCTTTCCCCTCCCCGGCTTATGCGGGTGTCTGCTCCAGCATCTCTAGGCAGCCAGTTCTGTGGGGTTACTTCCACATCTTCTGTGCTACACCTTATTCCCGGGGACTGGGCCGTCCTCTTCGACAGCTTTGCTGTAATCTTTGAACTGGATGGATGTGGTTCTGGCTGGCTGGTGGAGGGTTTAGTTCCCAGAACAGATGGACCGCAAGCCACGTGGGCAGGTGGCTAACATTCCCAGGGCAGTGTTCCCCTCATTCTGACCTGGTCATTTCCTTTAGAGCTGAGGGCCTCCAGGGGATTTGGATGTCTTCTTTCTTTTGCCTTTCTTTCCTCCTGGTCTGTAAGAGCCGTGCCAGTGCAGCATCTGCACCCGGGTGCGCGGGTGTGCAGACCTGAGGGTGTGGGTCCCGCTCAGCTGGCTGCTGCCAGAAGGTTCTGATCCTGGAAGTTGGATGTTGTGGGTTAGGGTCTGCTGGGGTTCGTCCTCTGGGGTGAATTTCCATTTTCCTTGATTCGTTCAAGCTGTCGGGGTTCCAATGGCAGTAACTCGTGCCTCTATAGTTCAGTCCTTCAGGCCTGACTTTCTGAAGGAGGGAGGGTGGTCTCGTGTCCTGAACCGGGCCTCTCTGCACTGCCTCCTGGGCAGTCTCGGCCATTCTGCTCAGGGCTGTCCACTAGGGCAGCCATTGGTCACTTGCGGCTGTCAAGCATTGGAAATGTGGCTGGTGTGTCTGAGGAACTGAATTTTTTGTTTTTTGGCTGTGTTGGGTCCTCGTTTTTGTGCGAGGACTTTCTCTAGTTGTGGCAAGCGAGGGCTACTCTTCTTCGCGGTGCGGTGCGCAGGCCTCTCACTGTCGCGGCCTCTCTCGTTGCGGAGCACAAGCCCCAGACGCGCAGGCTCAGTAGTTGTGGCTCACCAGCCTAGTTGCTCCGCGGCATGTGGGATCTTCCCGGACCAGGGCTTGAACCCGCGTCCCCTGCATTGGCAGGCAGTCTCTCAACCACTGCGCCCCCAGGGAAGCCCAGGAACTGGATTTTCAATTCCACTCCATTTTACTTAAGTTTAAACAGTGCTCGGGCCTTGCGCTGGGTGGCGCCTTGCAGCTGTCACCTTGTGTGCGTGCCCGGCCCAGCCCATCTCACCCCATCTGCACTCTGCGGGCTGGGGCCTTTGCACCGTTTGACACGACGGAAGCTGGCTCAGAGCAGCAAGGGGGTTTGTCCTTGGACACAAAGCCAGTGAGTGACTGAGAGGAACTCTTGGTGCACCGTGGTCTTGTCCCCAAAGCAGAGCTGCCCGGTCCCTGGAGCACCACGGGGAGCCTGTTCCCTGGCACGTGGCTTCCTCTGAAACAATGAGAACGTCAGGTGCCAGTTTGGAAACATCCTCAGTATTTGGAGCTACAAGGCTGTGCCTTTCAGTCCTAACTGGCCTTTGAATCCACAGCATAGGAGTTTACTGCTTTCCTTGGCTCCCAAGGAAGTGATTTGGGGTTTGCCAAAAGTGGGTTTCCCTAGACCAGGGATGCAGGGGTGGCACCACGCGGCATGTCACAGCTGGTCACGTGACCCTGTGCTTATTGGGTGGAAAGCAACCTGATGCATGGACCTAGTTTAATTTTCAGCCACAGGTGCTCTTAATTACTGTTGTTTTTCGTCTCCTGTCAGTCCTTTCAAACGTACTTCCTAAGTCTGTTGGGAACCTGTCACATTCAGGCCCAGGGTGGGGTGGGGCGGAGCAGACTGCAATGAAAACAGTCACTGCCCTCAAGGAGCTTGGCATCACCTCCTCCTCTGAGCTGAGACTGTGAGCCCAGGGCCGCTCCAGGAAGGGGCCTTAAGGCAGGTGTTTGGGTCGGTTCTTCTGGTTCCAGCATGACCAGAAAAGGTGGTGGGTTGCAGGGCCAGTGCCCACTGGAGCAGGAGGGGGGCCCCCTCTCCTCGGCTGGGAGGGCCTGCCCTGTCTGGTCTCTTCCACCCCAAGGGATACAGAGCTATTGGACAGAATTTTTCTTTTTATGAAAAAATTTATTTTTTCTTTTTGAAAAATACAGAAAACTAAAATTTAAAAGTTACCTGTTGGGCCACCATCCAGAGAAAACCATTATTGGCTTTTTTTTATGCAGAGCATTTTTGATGCTTCCCACCAGATATTTTGTCTTGGAATTTTAAAAATTATATGTTAAATCCATCAAAAGTATGTCTTTACCATATGAAAAGTTATAAACTTGCTACCGTATGTACGACCTTGGGAACACGAGGCTAAATGAAGGAATCAGCTCCAAAGCCCACGTGCCACGTGATGCGTTCCTGCAGAACGTCCAGAAGAGGCAGATCCACAGTCAGAAAGTAGGTTGGTGATCGCCATGGACGGAGGTCAGGGGAGAATGAGGAGTGACGGGGTTACTTTTGAGGTGAGGAAGATGTTCTAAAATGCATCGTGGTGTTGGTTGCACAGCTCAGTGAAAAGTGTCGAGCCACTGACTTGTGCGGTTTAAATGGGTGAATCTGTCGCAATAAAGCTGCCATTTAGGAAGCACAAGTCAAAACCACCATGAGATGCCACCTCATGCCACTAGGATAGCTACTATGGAAAAAACAAAAGTGTTGGCCAGGATATGGAGAAAAGGGAACCCTTGTGCAGTGTTGGTGGGAATGTACATTAGTACAGCCACTGTGGGAAAGTGTGGAGGTTCCTCAAAAAATTAAAAATAGAACTACCACATGATCCAGCAATCCCACTTCTAGGTATATATCCACAATAATTAAAAGCAGGGACTAAAACAGATATTTTTACACCCGTGTTCCTAGCAGCATCGTTCACAATAGCTAGAAGGTGGAAGCAACCTATCGACGGATGGATGGATGACGAAACGTGGTCTATACACACAGGGAATGTTACTCACACAGGGAATGTTACTCAGCGTTAAAAAGGAAGGAAATTGACACTTGCTACAACGTGGATGAACCCTGAGGACGTTATGCTAAGTGAAAGAAGCCAGCCACAAAAAAAGATACTGTGTGACTCCACTTACATGAGGTCCCTCCCTGAGCAGCCAGATTCATAGAGACAGAATGTAGAAGGGTGGGGTGGGGTGGGAGTTGTGGTTTAATGGGGACAGAGTTTTAGTTTTGTAAGACAAAAAGAGATTGGTTGCCCAACAGTGTCTAAGTGTACTTAACCTTACTGAACTGGACACATAACACAAAATTTACAGATAGTAAATTTTGTGTTATGTGTATTTTACCATAATTTAGAAAAAAATTAATAAACCAAGTGCTAGCATCTCCCTGGCCCACACTTCCCTCCCGAGCGCAGGCAGCAGCCACCTTACTCCTGAATCCTCCATCGTCTCCGTGACAGCATGTGCTTGGTTCTGCAGTGTGTGTGTGTGTGTGTGTGTGTGTGTGAGAGAGAGAGAGATAGAGAGAGAGAGAAGAGAGAGAGAGAAAGAGGCGTTCACGGGTGTGGTGCACCCACTTCCCCCTCAGGGTCGGGAGGGACTGGGCGGCTGTGCCTCCACGGCTTTCCCTCCCTTGGCTGAGTCACGGTCTCTTTCTCTCTGCTCTCGAGTCTTCTGCTCTCACCTGGAGTGCTGCTTTGAACATTCTTGTGCACCCCTGACTTTTGGAGCTGTCTCCCGACTTTGTGGGTCCCATGTCTGAGGCTCCTGTAATCCCAGGTTCCTTCAAGACTGGCTTCGAGATGGCGTGGGATCCCCTGGGCCGGATTCTGTGCTGGCAAAATGAGGTTTGTTCTGTGGGCTCTTCGTGGTGGCTGCCAGGTTCCCCAGGATTCCTTTGAGGACTATCTCCTGGGTGCTGCTGGAACTAGTTCTGACGAGGAGAGGAGGAGACTGACCCCAGCTGGAGGCAGGTTCACAAGCCCCCAGGGGGAGCCCGTGACCCTGACCCGAGGCAGCGCCTGCAGCAGCCCCTGTGGCCCGGCAGGCTGTGCTCTTCTGTGCAGGCCAGTTCCGTACTGTAAGCTCCATGGAACCTGCCAAATTCAAAGAGTTCTAAAGTCATTTGGTAAGAAGGGGCCCCTTTTCTTTCTGGAGCCCCTCCATTCCCCTCCTCAGAGACAGTCGTAACTCTTGGGTCTTTGTATATCAGCCCAGAAACATCTGTGCATCTAAAAGCAAACGTACACTTTCTCAGAAAGGCACTGAAGATCACAGGCTACAAACACTGGTCTGTACCTGACTTTTTCATTTTAAAGACCTCTTTCCATTATCGATGCGCTCTCAGTTTTTTCAACGTGAACCCTTTTTACTATGCTCTCTTGCTGGTCACTTCACACCTGCAACAAAATGCAAAAATATAGTCGCTTAGGAAGCCCAGGACTCAAAGGATCCCAATTAGCTATTAGTTGTTGGGTTTTTTCATCTGCTTTTGTGTACAGGGTTCAAGTTGGGGGTTGGCTGGTGGTGCTCTGAGATGGTTCACGGCAAACTTCTGACTGGGTTCTTTCCTTAATTGGGTTACTTTTGACCCAGAAACAAAGCAGGCCGCATGCAGTGGGCGCTGGGGTAGCCGGGCAGAGGCGGCCATGGCTCACTCTCGAGTCCTCGGCCACCTGGCTTGAGAAGCAACAGTCCCTGTCAACTGCAGGACTGAATCTGGTGGTCCAGGCAGCCTTTGAAACTACATTTGCAGGGCAGAGGGTTCCCCGGCCCCCCCAAGCAGGTGGGGCTGTGGGTGCTGACCGCAGGGTGGGTCCTCTGACAAAGGGGGCGCCTGCTGGTGGGTCTGGGTCTGTTTTGGACCTTGTGCTGCTTCCCTTCCCTGCACAGTGTGTGGAGTCCTGGAAATCTGCTGCTTTATGTGTCACGGTCCATCCTTTCCTGAGCAGGTAAAGCAGGTTTGGCCTCTAAAGCAGAACTGGTGGTGAGCCCAGGGCGGTGTGCCCGCTGGGCTGGCTGGCTCCTGAGCCTGCTGTGTTGGAAGGCGCCGGGGAGGGTTCTCCGCGCTGTGGAAGGCTGGTCACTGGTTGGCGGTGACGGACAGGAGTGGGGTGACCGGCCCACCGTAAGACTTGGGGCTCCAGGCGGCTTTGGTGGGTGAGCACGCCATCCACACACCCTCAGCTGTGCAGTCCCGACTGCCCGTGTCCACTGGTAGTTGCTCCCGTGCCATCAGGGCTGAGCCAGCAGCCTGGAGGGACTTGGGGGCACAGCCACCAACCTGTGGAGATGGGCTCGCCCAGCACGCTGTGGGAGGAACCAGGAGCCCGCCCCTGGGGTGGGCGCCAGCGCGGCGGCAGAGGCGAGGGTGGGGCAGACGGGAAAGGAAGGCCTGGGTGAGCACCAGGTGAGGGTGGGGTCTGCCCACTGACGTGTCCCCGAGATGCTGGGGCTTCAACTGGTGCTTCCTTGTTGGGCCTGTTTTGTCACTGCACTCAGGTAGGTTAGGGTTTGGACAAGAATGTTCTCTAATCCCGGCCTTGACACCCGCGCCTCGCTCTGAGCGTTCCAGAGGGACTCTGTGGCCGGAAAGCTCACCTTGGACGCTGACAGGGAGGCATCGTCCCCTGGCCTCACTCTGACGGTCAGCGGGGCGGCATAGACCCTCCATTTTCCCGTGCTTCTCTCCCTGTGCCTGTCTTGGCTGATGAACTTGAGACCACAAAGGAAATCTCTGCGCCAGAGATGCTCCTGCCGGGAGTGAGGCCCTGCCTCTTAGGTTTGCTTGTCTGCTAAGGTGCCTTGTAAGGTGCTGGATCCCACCTGGGAGCCTGTCTCCATTCTGAGTTAAAACCAAATGGGGAGGGGGACTTCCTTGGTGGTGCAGTGGCTAAGACAACATGCTTCTGATGCAGGGGGCGCGGGTTCAATCCCTGGTTGGGGAGCTAAGATCCCACATGCCATGCAGCACGGCTCCCCAAAACATCCCCCTGGGAGCACAAAAGGGCGGGCACCAGTGGCCGGCTCTCCCTCGCCTGTCTTTCCTCTCGGGAGTTTACCCAACAGTCCGGTCTCCACTGCCTTGAACGCGTAACAGCTTTCCTCTTTGAAGGAAATGCTGACCCTGGAGGTTCTGGGGTGACCTCGCTTCACAAGCTTTCCCTGGTACCTACGCGCGCGGCCCCTCGTGCAGCCGCTGACCAGGCAGCTCCGAGCCCCGCTCCCAGCGGCCGCCTGGTGTGCTCAGGGCAGGCGCCTCTCCTCTGGGGACGGCATCTCTGCAGAGCAGCAGCCTCTAACCAGCTCCTTTTTCCCCACCCCTTCCTCCTAAGGGTGAGCCTGTCGGCCACAGACTGTTACATTGTGCATGAGATCTACAACGGGGAGAACGCCCAAGACCAGTTTGAGTACGAGCTGGAGCAGGCCCTGGAAGCCCAGTACAAGTACATCGTGATCGAGCCCACACGCATCGGTGACGAGACAGCCCGCTGGATCACCGTGGGCAACTGCCTACACAAGACCACCGTGCTGGCGGGCACCGCCTGCCTCTTCACCCCGCTGGCGCTGCCCCTGGAGTACTCCCACTACATCTCCCTGCCTGCGGGCGTGCTGAGCCTGGCCTGCTGCACCCTCTACGGCATCTCCTGGCAGTTCGACCCCTGCTGCAAGTACCAGGTGGAGTACGACGCCTACAAACTGTCCCGACTGCCCCTGCACACGCTCACCTCCTCCACCCCGGTGGTGCTGGTCCGGAAGGACGACTTGCACAGAAAGAGACTGCACAACACGATAGCGCTGGCGGCGCTGGCGTACTGTGTAAGGAAGGTTTACGAGCTCTGCGCCGTATGATCGGGGCAGCGCAGGGGGAGCAGGCAGCCCGGCCCGCGAGGTGGCAGAGTGGAGCCCGGGAAGGCGTCTGGCTGCACGTTGGTTATTTTAAAGAAATAACAGATCACAAGTGTACCAGGGGTTTTTTCAGCTCATCACATTAAGATGTGGATTCCCGTAACCCGCGGGGGCCTGAGGTTGTGGAAGGCCGACCAGGCAGTAGGATGTGATGGAAGCAACGCTACTGAGGGGATGTGAACGCGCTTGGGGGGTCGTTAAGTATGTTGTTTAACTGTACCATCCAGAGCCAACCAGAAGCTATTGACCATTAAAATTATAAGAATTTCACCTCCAGGTGTCTGCTCTCTCCGTGACGGTCCTGGTGGGAGCATGCAGGTGGCAGGAGGGGCACCACCTGTAGCGCGAACAGGCGAACAGGCCTCTCGCCAGGCAGGCCCAGCCCCTCCCAGAGCAGCCTCACGCTCTGTCCGAGGCGGCGCAGCTCAGTGCCGCTCAGGGGTGTGGCAGGACAGGTAGGTGGCGAGGCCTGGCAGTCGCTGGGTCTCCACTGGGCTCACCTGGAGAGCTGGGGCCTGGGGCCTCTTGTCCAGATTCTGATTTAGGAGAACACAAACGAACATCTGTATTTTTTTTAAAGCACTGAAGCTGTCCTGATGTGTCCTGAGTTCAACCTGCTGCCCGCCTCGTGTTCCACAGAAAAGGGGGCCATGCCGGCCCGAGACTCTGCTCGGTCATCCCTAAGGGGCACTTTTCTAAGCGGCAACCAGACTGATGTTCACGTGGTTTTAAAGGATCCCTCAGGAAGATCAGACACCAGAGAGTAACAAGGGGTGCTGGGAAGGTGTCAAAAGGGTGTATGGGGGTGATGGGGCCATCTATTCACAGGAGGAGAGCCAGAGATTTTAGAAGAGTGAGAAACTTTGACTTAATTCCAAGGGGCCTGGAAATGCTGGTCCCTCAGTTGGGTGCTGGGTGGCAAACGGTCTGGAACAAGGGTAAACTGGCAGTGATCCTAAACAGACCTATCTTGACCGTGCAGTGCCCACCACCCTCCTGAGCCTGCTGGGTGGGACTGGGAGGTGTTTCTGTAATAGGCCAGATTTGGAAAGGGAGCCTGTGATCTGCCTGCAGATCAGATTCATGGGTAAGGCAGCTGGAGACGGACCAGCTGTGGCCACCTTGGGGCAGCTGAGCAGAAGCTGTCACCAGATACAAGCCAGGTGTGGATAGGCGGCTCCAGCACACGGAACGATGGGACACGTCGAGAAGCCAGCCACGCGCTGACTGTTGGCCGCGCTGAACAACATGCTGGGGGACCCCGTGAACGGCGTGAAGGCGGCAGCAGCCTTCTCCCCAAGCCCCCAGCGCTAGGTGAGTCAAATACGAGAACTGGGTCAGATGACAGGAAGTCTTCTGATCTCAAGACCCGAATTCAAAGGAGGCGTGGTTCTGCCTGCCCTCAGGGATCACAGCTCCACAGCTCAACCCTTTACTTCACGTCCTAGAGTTTAGATCCAGCTGCATTTTACCCCTCCCCCCGGAGGAAGCCTGTCCTCCTCCAGCAGGACAGGCTGGGGGTCTGCGAGAGAGGCATGACTCCCTCCCCCACCTCCCCATGAGGCAAGAATCCAGTACAGTCCACGCAAACACACCTGTCCCTGTGGAGCAGCGGTGCTGCCGCGCCACCTGCCCGGACAGGCACTAGCAATGCTTGGGTTTCTGCTCCTTCCTGGCCCGGGAGGCCATGAGGCTGAAGAAGAGCCTGGGAGCCAGAGTGCGCAGGTAAACAGCCAGGGAAGGCGCCACATCGGCCAGGACCACGTCCTTCTTTTTCTTCCCCACGGCAGCCAGCACGTCTCGGGCCACCTGCGAGGGGCTTCGGCCCTGGGCCGTGGTCTTGTCCATCACTGAAATGAAACGAGAGACTCACTGAGCTCGGGTGCATGCCGAGTGAGGTCAGTCTTCAGTATATACGACCAACACCCACACGTCAAGTGGTTTAGTTTTAAACTTATTTTCTGAAAGAAAATGAAAACGACCACAGAATCATCAGGTAGCTTTGCATAGAAGAAAAGCGACACCAGGGCCTAACCTCCGTACTTGGACCCGTCGGCCGTGACGGCGTTAAGGGAGAGGTTGGTGTGGATGTATCCGGGGCTGACGACGGTCACCTCGATGTCATGCTGCTCCACCTCGGCCCGCAGACAGTCGAAGAAGGCCTGGGTCGCGTGTTTGGAGGCCGCGTCTGCAAAGGTCAGTGGCCAGAGAGGCAGGTGAGTGAGGGGCGGGGACGCATTCGTTCCCTGAGTCAGAGGCGCCCAGCCTGGGCCCTGGACAGGCGCAGGGGTGTCAGGTCTCGTGCTCTCGTGTAGTTCAGGGAAAACACTGTACACGATACACTGACCTACAGGTACGTTCACACACAACATGACACAGCGCACATGGTCAAATGCGAACCACTGGGGATGTGTAGGAAGGGTGCATGGGTGTTCTTTGTACTGTTCCTGCAAGGTTTAAGTGTGAAATTAATCTAAATTAAAAGTTTTTTAAAAAAAAAACACTTAATGCCTACTGGGTAAAATATTCAAAACAGTTCAGGAGGAAATAAAGTAACCAAGTGAAAGTCCTCCTCGTGCCTTCCAGTACGGTTCCCCAGAGGGAGCCAGGCTGCCGGTTTCTCAGCATTCATTTCTCACATCAACCAGGTACCTACACGGGGTGCGACACAAGTCATATTTGTGCGGACATGGCCTCACGCTGTGCCTGTTTCCGTGTCATTCCTGCACGTAGCTCTCTCCAGCGGGGGACAGACGGGGCAGCTGCCATGCCCCTCGTGGTCACAGGCCACACTGCAACAGTGCGTCCAGGGAGGCTCCCTGCACGTGCAGGAGCGTGTGTACAAACCCACATCTGGCCTTCTCACGTCTTTTGCCTGACAGCTTCCACAGGATGGCCTTTCATCTGGAAGCGCTGTCCAGGCCCCCTCCGCTCCCCAGCAACAGCCTCTCTGCACAGCGTCGGGTGCTCTGAGGGGACAGAGGAACCCTACGATGGCACTCCTGGGAACCAGCATCTCCACTGACGGTTTCCAGATTTGGAGTCCACACGTTCGAGCCTGAGGAAAGGGCATCCATCAGCCACGTAACTGTAGGTCCTGTGAGCAGCCCAGCAGCGTCCAGACTCTGCAGAGCCTCTGGAGGAGTGGCCTGGCCGAACGAACGCTCTGCGGGTGGGTGGCTCGAGACACGCTCCTACCAGCCGTGATTCCAGAGGCACGGCCCAGGCCGAGGCCCTGGGGGCCTCCCTGACTCCCAGTCTCCACGGCTCTCGGGCTGTATGTAGGTCCTCGGCCAGGCTGTGCTAACCTAAACGCCGTGACTGTGGTCCCCAGGGCTCCACGTGCTCTACACACATCCTGGATCCTCCCACTCGGCCTCACAACAGCCCCGAGAGGTACACGAAGCCACCCCCACTTCACGAGTGGGGAGACTGCCGCCCGTTGAGTTGGCCGACATGCCCAGGAGGCACCGCCTCGTCCGGCCTGGTGGTTATAAAGCACCCAGAACAACCAAGTGTGACCTACGCAGTCAGAGCCAAGGGGAGGACAAAACTCAGTGGGACTAAATCCAAGTGAAGTTTGGAAATAATTCAGTACAAGAACACTTTACAAAGAACTCCTTTACCCTGTATACCCTTTTCCCTATTATTGCCTCATCTGCTCTGTCACATGTGATGCCTGCATATCTATTCCTCAGGAGGCTGTCCTGTGCCAACGAAGTGAAACAGAAAACTGGCACAGGGAAATAACCGCCCCAGAAACAAGCACGGATACGGCGTTGTCTTGAGCACGGCCGTGGAGGCTGTCTGATGACATGAGGGGGCAGTGCGGGCTCAGACGAGTCCCACGGCTGACCCAGACACAGCCAGCACCAGGAGGACAGCTGCGCTGCGTTCAGGCTGACAGGTGGTTCCCAGTCGTCCAGCTGGGTGTGCGTGGCCGTCCTTTCACGGTGTGGAGGCAGCTTCACCCCTCCCCTCCCTTCCCGTGGCTACGCCGAGCATCTGGAGAGGGGGAGACTGTTACAGCTGAGTGTTTCCTTGCAGACGGTGGAGCAAAGAATGCAGTTCCCAGGACAGTTTGTGAAATCACCTTTCAAATCTTTTAACAAAAGTAGAATCTGCTTGCTGGTGCTCGTGATGGCGCAATCTCAACATTCTGGCGTAGCCACTCACGCAGGGAGGTGAGAGTCGGGACGGAAGTCAAGCTGGCAGCGTTAATTTTTTGGTCCTATGTCCACTTTTTGGAACTAATCTTACTGAAACCCTCCCATGAGAGCCCAGAGATAAAAATGCTGAAGGATGCTGTACACAGCACATCACTGCTACTGGTCACCGACTGAAGGGACGAAAGTCCTCACGTGTCACGGAAACTACTAAGGAAATGATGCCACGTCCATTCGATTAATGACTGTACACCCACTTAAAGGGGCCAGGCACATCCATGTGTGCTAATGCAGACAGACACGGTCCAGTGGAATAAGCGGGCCACAAAACTACACATAACGCGCCCCAGCTTTGCACATCTGATCCCATGTAGAAGAATTCTGGAGGCACATGCGGTAAAGTGGCAGTGGGGCAGCACCTGTGGGCCGACGGTGGTGGCACTGAGAGGGGCCGACACTCGGGGGGCACAGCACGGGGGCCACAGGTGGCACGAGGAGCAGAGCTGGGGCTGAGCCCAGGCCTCTGCTCAGGAGCACACGCTGATGACGGCCCTGCACGTTCCGTGCTGAGTGTTTCTCTAACGTCTGAATTCTGGACGGTGAACGTGTTGTTTTCATAACAGGGAGAAAACAGTAAAGGGAACGTGGGAAGGAGAAGGAAGTACTCACACGCGGATCGGAAGGGAACGCTGATTTTGCCCTGGATACTGCTGATGGCGACAACGTGGCCCTGGCGCCTTCTGATCATAGAGGGCAGGAGCGCTGTGGGGAGAGGGGAGAGGTCACTGCAGCTCATGCTGAGAGCCTGGGGCGGGGGGACTGTTTACTGGAACTCTTAGCCCCCTGCGCCCAGGAGGGGAGGGAAGGCCTCTCCCTGGAGTGAGAACCGTGGCCGGACGTCAGAACGCCCCACTCTGTAGGTGTGCAGACACAGTGGAAAGACGTGGAGCCAATACTGTGCAGTAAGACCATAAAGCAGTGGCAGAAAATGCAAATAAAAGCCCAGAAAAGCCAACACCCAGGCTGTAAGGACACCACTGACTCCAGGGTCAAAGGGATGGGACAGGCCAGGTCTAGGAAGAAGGAACCAAGGGAAATACAAAG